TCGGACGCTTAACCGACTGCGCCACCCAGGCGCCCCGACAATTGATTTTCAACAAAGGCAAAAAGGCAATCCAAGAGAGAAAGGGTAGTCTTTTCAACAAATGATACTGGAATGATTAAATAACCATACGCAAAAAACATTACATTTGATCCATACCTTACACCACATAAAAAATTACTCAAAATGGATTATGGACCTAAATATAACACCTAAAACTGTAACACTTCTAGAAGAAAAAAAGAAAAGAAAAATCTTTGTGACCATAGATCAGGCAAAGATTTGTTAGATACCACACTGAAAGCATGATCCATTTAAAAAATTGATAAGTAGGACTTCATAAAATCAAGTAGTTCTGCACTAGTAAGAGAATGAAAAGACAAACCACAGACTGGGGGGAAATATTTGCAAACCACATATTTAATTTTTAGTTAAAAAGTTAAAAAAATATATGTATGTATGTATATACTCTCAAAACCTAATAAGAAAACTAACAACTCAATAAAAAAATGAGCAGGGCATCTGGGTGGCTCAGTTGGTTAAGTGTTCGGCTCTTGATTTTGGCTCAGGTCGTGATCTCACGGTGGTGAGATCGAGCCCCACATTGGGCCCTGTGCTGACAGCATGAGGAGCCTGCTTAGGATTCTCTCTCTCCCTCTCCTTCTGCTCCTCCCTCCCTCACGCCGTCTCTGTCTCTCTCAAAGGAAATAAACTTTTAAAAAATTAAAAGAAAAGAAAAAGTAAAGCATATGTCCATACAAAAACTTCCACACAAATATTCAAAGTAGCATTGGGGTGAGGGGCACCTAGATGGCTCAGTTGGTTAAGCATCCGATTTCAGCTCAGGTCATGATCTCACAGCTCGTCAAACCCCACATTGGGCTCTGTGCTGACAGCTCAGATCCTGGAGCCTGCTTTGGATTCTGTCTCCCTCTCTCTCTGTCCCTCCCCCACTCATGCTGTCTCTCTCTCTCTCTCCTTCAAAAATAAATGAAAATTAAAAACAAACAAGCATTTTTTTTGGCTGTTGTTTTTATTGTTCATGTTTATCACTAAACTTTTGGGGAAAAAAACCCAAATAAATAGAAAATAAAAAGAAAGGGAAAATACATAACCCTGGATTGCTAACTTTTAAATTTCTCTCCTTTATGTATATTTTGTTGTTATTGTCATAATTTCATATACAGAAAATGCTAATTTTTTGTGCTTGACAGTGACAATACAATAATAGACATTAGTATGTTCTGTGAACATCTTTCTACAACATTAATTACATGCCTATATTATCATTCTTTAGTGCTAATTATAATTTATGTACCAAATGCTACATTATAGGAGTTTAAGATGCTCCCAGGTTTATTTTGCTCTTATAAACAAGCTGGCAATAAACAACAGATAGAAACTTGGAACTCAGTGTAGATGCTCAGCTATAAGAATCTCAAATAGAATTTTCACGCGGCAGTACATGAGAAGTGCTGTCTCACAGATGTCATGAGTTGGAGAAAGAACAGTGGGCTGTGTGTTTGGAAGAATTGTAGAGAAGGGTCTGGAGCTGAGCCTAGGAGATAGTTGGGGTTTGTTTTGTTTGAAAGTAAAGGAAGAGCATTTCGTGAGGGGAAAAACTGTATGATTCCTTTTTATTTATGAAACAATAGCTCCTCTAAAACATTAAAAAAATTTTTTAAAAAAAGAAAGAAAGAGGAGCAGTGCCTGGGTGGCTCAGTCAGTTGAGTATCTGACTTTGGCTCAGGTCATGATCTCATGGTTTGTGGGTTCGAGCCCTGCGTCGGGCTCTGTGCTGACAGCTAGGAGCCTGGAGCCTGCTTCAGATTCTGTGTCTCCCTATTCTTTGTCCCTCCCCTGCTCACGCTCTGTCTCTCTCTCTCTCTCAAAAATAAATAAAACATTAAAAAAAAAAGATAGCTCCTCTAACAATGATGCATGACCGTGCAAAGGTTTGTTTGTTTGTTTGTTTGTTTTTGTGAAAATTGCCATCCAGTTCTATTAATCTGAGAGTGGATCTTTTTATATGTGTCCCATCTTACCAGAAACCTGGGATTGTTCTAATTCCTATTTAAGTGAGCTCATACATCAAGCAGAAAGCTTTTATTACAAGACAGTTCATAGTTTTCCAGCAGGTATAAGTTCTCCTGGAGTTACCAGAATTTCTTTTCTCTTTTTGCAAACTTAATTTCACAGATACCAACATTTTCTTTCTTAAAGAGGCCAGTGAACTATTTAAGGTTAATAGGAATCTTAATTTTGAAAGTTTTTAGTTTTTTTTTTTAACGAATCTGGCTGTGGCATAATTGAACCCATGTTTTTGCCACTGTGAAAACTTGAGAGTTGAAAAAGTTTCCAATGTTTAGAGATAAGTTGGGAAAAGTATGTCCCTTAGTGTTTATTTGATGCATACCATAAGTGGCTACTAGGATACAGGTATTCCCTGAATATGACTAAGACATGGTATTACTTCATACTGAAACATAAAAAAAACTTTTCCCATGAATGATTAAACATGGAATACTACTCAGCAATAAGAAGGAATAATAAATAAACTTGATACACGCAGCAACTTGGATGAACTTCAGCAAAATTATGCTGAGTGAAGAGCCGAGTTATAT